AAAATGAGGCACACATATAAAGTAAGCTCTAAGAAGGCCCATGTAGACACAGACAAACAAGCTGTTGATGTGTAGTATAGACCAAAGCATAAAGGAGTGTTAAGAACAAGGAATGGGACTATCTCTTATTGGATCCATATCCCCAAACCTACCAAGTCCCTGGCACAAAGCAGCTGCTCAAAACCTATTTAATTGGTTGAGTGCCTACTGAGCATCAGGCATTATACTAAGTGTCAGAAATACAGAAATGTGTATGAACGATGCAGTATCTGACATCAAAAAGCTCATATGGGCTGGAACTGCTGTAGAAAACTTTAAGGATACAGCTGAGCCTCTGAGAAGGGAGAAGATGCAGGTGGGAGTAGATAAAGTAGGAAGAATGGGAACAAAGGCACTGGCCCAGGAATAAAAACAATATTGTGGGTGATTATAGGGAGTGAGTGGGACACTGAGTAGGCTTTATCTCCCCAAGCAGAGAATTTATGTGGGAAGTTGTGAGAAAAACATTGATGGATTAAGGAAAACCTATGTAATGACTTGGAAGGTTAATAGAGGAAACAACAGACTAACACTGTTTTAATTCTGAGAATGGACCCCAAAGCAGGTATTTATGGGGCCAGCTAATTTGAGTAGTGGAAATAAACTAGCTGGCTCACGGCAGAACAATTTATTATGAGAATCATTAAGGAACTATTTCACTACACGCCATTCTCTCTGATTACCATAGCTTCCTCAGTCATTTTTATTATCAGTATAGGCCTTAGGGAAGTGCATAAAATTTATAATATAGAAGGCATTAGGGGAAAGAAAAATGAAATTTACTAGGCATTTTCTTAGATTTTTTTTGTTTGTTTGTTTGTTTTTGAGAGAGAGGGGGAGTGTGCTTGGAGGAGGGGCAGAGGAAGAGAGGGAAACGTAAGCGGGCTTCATGCTCAGCAGCACGGAGCCTAATGGGGACTTGATCTCATGACCCTGGGATCATAACCTGAGCTAAAATCAAGAGTCAGATGCTTAAATGACTAAGCCACTGAGGTGTCCCTCTTAGGTTTTTCTTAATAGCAATGAGTATGAATATGACTGAATATTAACAATGGTGTTCTACAAATTATGTAAATTAGAATATGTTAAGCTGCTTTGGGGAGGCAGAAGAAGTTATTAAAGAATACTTAGGTGGCTGGGAAATGCTGGAAAAAAAATGCTCCACTCAGACCCAGGGAAGCCAGCTAACAGATAATAAGGGGGGAAGGGACAGTTGCATTTCAAAGTAATTTTGATATGATGAAACTGTTTTAATGAGTATAATTTTACTCCCACATTGCAGAGAGAGGCCTTTAGTTTATTATAATGAAATGTGTTCAAGATAGAAGATATTGTATTATATATACTATAAATAAAAACAAATAGTTTGGGGAAATCATGGTAAGATTCTTCCCTTCCAATAGTTCTGTTTTCAAGAAATAAGAAATAAATGCATCACAAGATGACCCTGAAAATCAGACATAGTAGAAAGTCATCTAGACATAAATTCAGCCAAACCCTTCAGAGCGTTAAGCTGACATTCTTTTGCTAGTCTAACGTAGTTGAAACGTGTATAAGATTTGGAGTCAGGCCATTCTAGACCCAAATCCTAACTTTCTTACTAATTGTCTGTGCGATCCTGCCAACTCTGCCCAACCTCTCTGAACCTGCAGTGTCCACATTATAAAATCAGAATAAGAATACTTACTACACATAGGGTTGTTGTAAGGATCAAATTAAACTAACATGATGCATACAGACTGTTTAACACAGTGTTTTATGGCCCAAAGTGTGGGTGATATTAATATTAGATAGTTATTATTACTGATACTTCTAGTGTTACTATTATTAGTTTACTGAAACAGGAATATGCCAGATTGAACCAGAACACCTATATTTGGGTCCCAAATCAGTTATTATTAAGGATCTCAATTTCTTCACCTATAAATGGCAATACTATGCTGACAGTAACATCTGTTTTGCCTAAATCACAAGATTATGGGAAGCTTCAAAGGTAATGTATGTGCAAACTATAAACTGTCAAATTAAAAATACCCCTTTCCTCTAGAGTAAGTATATACCTAAATGAAAGAAACTCAAGTACAAGATCATTTGCCTGTACTTACTGCACCAGGAATGTAATAGTTCTCACTCTATTAGCATAAAGGGAAAAGGATAGTCTTTCAGTAATGAGGACCTATTGTGAGACTGGGTCTTTAAGAGTTGTGTTAACATATAATATTACTTCCATGAATGTGAATCTTGTAAACATCTAGTAGTATATAATCTACTCAATTTTAAAACCTGACCTTCTATTCAGAAAATGTGAACATAATCAAGTGATTTACTAATAATAATTCCCTCTACCAAGATTAATATGGAAACAAATACACTTCTAAAAAGTAATTACAAAACTGGGATGCAATTAGGGAAAAGACAAAATTCCCTAAATTTCTGGGCAGCATCTAATTGATTTGGGAAGAATGTCAAGAATTAATTTTACATTTTGCACTTGAGTTGTCAGAAGTCTGAGATTCTAAGGTGACAAGTGTTGCTCATATAAGCAATTACAGAAGGCCTGTCGGTAGCTCAGTGATGTATTTGTGGATGGATGGATGGATGGATGGGAGGGGGGATGGAAACTGTAACTCTCATTTTCATTAATTTATCCCTCATTCTTATCCTTGGACATGAGCCAGGTGAGAATCATTCTCAACAGATAGAAGAAAGAGATAGAATTTAAATATCCTCCACCTATATCTACTGTCTTGTGATTTTTAAGAGCAATGATTTGGGTTAGAGCAAACTCAGCCTCAGGAAACCAAAACAAGTAAACTGTGAAGAGAATTAAAATATATTTTTTTCTGCTCATAATTAGTGTTACATATGATTCCTTGATGATTTCTTTGCTCTCTTTTTCCCCCTCCCTGGAATTCTAGACCATGAGCAGGACGTCATAGAGATGGGGGTAGAATCAAAGTGGGCACTCCAGCCAATACTGCGCAAGCATTGTCATGACAGCTGGTTAAATGAAAAGAAGTGGACTGGGACTGAAGCACGAGGAGGGCTTTGGTCTTGAGACTGGAAAACAAAAGAAGGCTTAAGAAGGAATTCAAGATGTGCACGGTATGACTCCCCTCCCCTCGCCCAGTTACTTACACAGCACTGGGCGTACATGAAAAGGATTCCACAGGATAGGGTCATGTGTGATTTTTCTATGTGGTAATCAACTAACGTTCTCTACTTCTTCTTTCTATCTGTGGTAATTATGCTTATCTGATCTATTTCAGTGTAAATCCCCTTCAAAATGGTAAAGCATAGAATAATGTATTGAAAAGAGTAAGTTCCAAAGAGGAGTTCAAGAGAGGAGAGGCCATATATCCGTGTTTGCTGAAAAGAAAGGCTTAGCTAGCCTCAGAGAATGTGGCGGTTTAACAGTTGTTTTTTGTTTTTTGGTTTTTTTTGAAGCGGTTCAAAGATCTGTTTTGTCTCTCTGACTTTTGACATTGAGGATGAATGTCTAAAATGTTTACAAAGAGACACGAGCTAAGTTTTTATTTGGGAAATAAAAAGGTAACAGAACAGAAAGAATATGAGCAAAAGGATGTACTGATCTCTATAATTCTGGGATAAATAAACACCATTCCTTGGAAATCAGTTTTTAAAAAAGGAAAGGAAAAAGTTCTCCCTCAACTAGGACACAGAAAGGATGATGGAGCTCTCAACTACTTACAGTTGTAAACAGTGTGGGTGGGAAAGAGGCAGTAAAGAACAGCTAGACCCTGTGAAGTTTCAACAAGAGAAGTGGGCATCTAACAAATAATAAAAAATGCACGACACAGCTACGAAAATAGGCATGCGTATCTACAGGAAATAGATGGTGCAGTAAAGGAGAGGTAATCTGCACAGAGGTGTGCAGAAGCAAAATCAACTACTCAACAAGAAGGAAATGCCACCCAAGTATGCTATACCAACATTTGCTTGAAAAAACAAAACAAACAAAACCCAAACTTTGCACCAAACTCTCCCAATGAACAGGTGTCTTGTTGAGAGGGAAGCAGCAGCCTCGCTGGGACTGAAGGCATAAAGGGGCAGAAAGTTGTTCCAGTGGAAGCTCAGGCTCCCACATGATGAGAGGCACCTGCTTCTTCCTTCCACCCAGGGCTGAGTGAAAAGAGCAAGGCTCTGGAGGTTGGGGAGAAACAGCAGCCCCCCTCAAGTAACCGTTCCTTCAGAGCTCAGGGAGTCTGCAGTTTCTGAAGGGCTTGAACAGGAGTGCCTCTGCCTGCAGCAGGGTCTGAAAAACACTCGCTCCTCGCTTCTCTGACCAGCCTTTCTTGGCTCCTCCTCTGTCTGGTCTCCCACTATTTACTGAGTGTCAGATTTTTCTGTGTTTATAATTCCTGCCATAGGTTAAAACATATAAAAAATAAGGTTGCATTTGCAGCTCCCTATAAAACAGTTAACATGTAAACGAAAATTGGAAATTGTTGCTTTAAGTTCGCATTTAAGAACCGAAGGATCATGTGTTACCAATGAATCAACAGGGAAACTGTTCCGAGTTAGAAGAAATCGCACCTGGATTAACAAGGACAAGGCAGATATCAAGCAGGACAGGAAATCCTGGTAGGATGGAGCGGACGCCATACTCCACGTCCTAAAGAGTCCATCTCTGAAACCATCCCACAGAACAAAGATGTTCTCAAGGCAAAAGCGAATCTTAGGGAATTTTATAGATGAGATGTGCTTTCTTATTGCTCACATGTAACATGTACATCTAGAAAGACGTGAATCTAAATTTTTGAAAACAAAGACATAAAAAGTATTTTTTTAAATGAAGACCAAACCTTAGATGAATCCCATGAGCCAGTGAACAATCATTTCAAAGAAACACAAGGAACTAGGTATTATTATTAAAAATGTTGTTCTTTTACTCTTCTACATGGTTCGCTTTCCGGTTTACATTTTCAAAAGTTCCTTACCTGGGCTGACTGTTCACCATTTCATGTTTTCCATTGAAGTTCAAGCCACAGAGGTTCTTCGGTTTCAAATGTGAAGAGTCGGGTTCCAAATTTGCCTGTGTTTGTTCTCTCAGACGATCATGAAGAGTTGCCTCCTTTTTCAGGTTCATGTCTGAATACGGGCAGCCAAAAGCACTGGTTTGTATAAAAACGAGCGTACAGTTGTCAGTTTACAGCAGTTGACCGGGAATCCACCATCACGGGGACAGACTGACATCCAAATTTTAAGAACTGGAGGGAGGCCTTCTTCTTCCACTGAGGACACCCTAATAAGCTTCCTTTCATACTGCCCTTCAAAGAACTCTCAAGTTCCAGATCACAGACACTGGTTCTAGAGAATGAAAGGTATAGTCATCTGCTATAGACATATAGTTTTTACCATTTTGGAAACCTAAACATCTAAGAATAATGTAATAATGTGCTTCTGGGAGAGTAATGGCAATGTTATATAAACACCTGATTCAAAGTTTGTATCTTCTGATATGTATGCCCTGATCTGATTAGCCACATCACCAGATAGTATGGGCCATGAAAAATATTCACCATTATCAGAGAATATTATGCTTTTCTTTCTCAACGTTCATGTATCTAGAAATACTGTATCTGTATTTCTGCTTAATTCTCCTGAAACCTGCTAGAAAGTGTTGTGTTTGAACGTGAAGGAACACCTGAGATGAAAGGGAGAGACCATAGCAAAGGCTGAATCCTCCATCTTGGATGTTTTTTGGAGCCTAACTGGCAATGAGCTACTGGGACACATGATCTGATTCTTTCCACAGACTGGTAGTCTCCGTCGGATTTCCGTGCCTGCAGCCCTCTCTCCAAAGCAGCCCCAAACCTCTGCTGTTGCTTAGGAGTGAGGGAACCACTCTCAGGGAAAGCCCAGGGGTGACGGGTCAGCTGCAGGCAACCCTGGGGGAAAGTGTTTCATTCTCAAGCTTCTGTTTCTCTCCAGTTACGTGGGAAAATCAGATTCAATTTCAAGGGGTGCTGGAACCATGACAAATCTCACACACGCACACGCACACACACACACACACACCCCAACATGGTAGTTGTTACTATTTTCATAGTGTTATCATCCTCTCCATCTAGGGAAGCACAGAGTCAAATGCATTGATATCTAGGCAGTCTGGTCTTTTTGAGGAATTTGCTTCCAATTTACTGTACATTTGCTGACATATGATGCATAATAAATTCTTTTTGGATGCATGAACATTTTCTTTTTTTTTATTTTAATGGCATGATAAAATCAGGGACCAATGCAGTTCTTCCTTTATTTTATTTTTTTTAAGATTTTATTTATCTGACAGAGATAGATCACAAGTAGGCAGAGCAGCAGGCGGAGGTGGGGGTGGAGAGCAGGCTCCCCACTGAGCAGAGAGCCCAATGCGGGGCTTGATCCCAGGTCCCTGAGATCATGACCTGAACCAAGGGCGGAGGCTTCACCCACTGAGCCACCCAAGTGCCCCCTTCCTTTATTTTCAAGTAGATGGAGTTTGCCAAGGACAGCCCATATACAATCTAACCCCAGAAGGTCTTTAGTATCAACCTATATCTAGAATTGATCTTCTGGATGACATCAGCCTGCCCAATAAGACAGAGTGAATCTGAGCGGGCAGTAGGGAGAATAAGTAGCCTTTGCTACACACAAGAGACTCCTCTCTATATGCATGTTCTGTAATCTGTAATACTTGGTGCTGATTTATTGGTTTATTCAGTTACTGATTCAATAATCCATTAGCTGAGCATCTGCTACATCATAAGGGTTTTAGAGAAAATAAACCCAGTGAAGAAGTTAACATATATTTATAAATATAATTTATAATAATAAAACCAAAAAAGCTACCACTACTGAGTGTGTACTAGAAGACCACTAAAAATCAAGATTTAACATATATTATTTCTACATTTATTACTAACTACTCAAAGATGATATTGATAGATTTATTGTGCAGTTAAGAAAACAGTCACACACAGGATAAGCCACCTTCCCAAAGTTGCTTGGCACTTTCTTGTGAAGCCTCAAAATAGATCACTTAGTAATTAGCACCATGTGAGGTTGTTCACATCACCAAAAGAAGAAACAGGAGAGAAGTGTGGTATAATTCTTGTGCAAAGAGAAGCCGAGGCAGGTACAGGGGAGAGCAGCACCCTGTTCGCTGTGACTAATGGCTAGAGTATGCCCACAGCCACTACAGTCCTGTGTGAAAAGCTAAGATGTGATAAAGAACTGTTTCCAATAACAGCCCAGAGGCAGTGAACTGTTTAAGCTGCAGTGTACGAGATCTAAGGGAAATTCTAGAAAGAACTCTCTGCAGATAAAAGTTGAAAGCATGAGGCTATCCTAAGAGAAACTGGGAAGTGTTTATTTCAAGCACAAGTAAGTTTTCATTAAGATACTATGATTCAGGGGCACCTGGGTGGCTCAGTGGGTTGAGCCGCTGCCTTCGGCTCAGGTCATGATCTCAGGGTCCTGGGATCGAGCCCCGCGTCGGGCTCTCTGCTCAGTGGGGAGCCTGCTTCCTCCTCTCTCTCTGCCTGCCTCTCTGCCTGCTTGTGATCTCTCTCTGTCAAATAAATGGATAAAATCTTAAAAAAAAAAAAAAAAAAAGATACTATGATTCAGAAGCTCTGCTATCCATCTAATACATATTCTCAAATTGAGACTTTTAAATGACGTATTACGGTCATGAATTTTCTTAATTTCATATCATCCCCCAACCTGATTCGTGCTGCACGGCAATGATGCTCTGTCCCCCAGCCTTATTCGTCCAGCAGTGTAGACAGCTGTCACAGACGCTCTTGTTTGGGACTTGCTTCAGTGGAGACAAATGTGGGTTCCCTCAAACTTCACTCATCAGTCAGTCCCTCTAGTCATTTTGTCCCTTGTCTGTTGTTTCCTAATTCCATTCCAGCCCCTCTGTCTCCAGCGGTGAGGAATGGAACACCGGGAGTGTCACCAGGGTGCCATACCTCCTGATTCCACCAGGCAAGCCCGGTGACACCTCACCTCCAGGCTACACGGATCGGAAGGAAGTGTGAAGTGCAAAAGAACATATTAAACAACAATACCAGGTGTGGCCTGCTTTGGTGAAGAATTCGAAAGATGATGATGATGGGACACGGAAGTACAAGAGAAGAGGGGATGTTAACATCTCAGCTAGAGTAGTCTGCGCCCTTTCCAACCTGCCACTGTGCCATGAACACATTTCCATACTGCGACACCGTGCTTACTTGTGCTCTTTGGATCCAGAGAACACTGTTGTGTGAACGATACAGGATCTCTGACTTTGGCCTGCCTTTCTGCAAATGCAGAACCTTACTCATGTGCTTGTGCCTGTGTATACACGTTAAAAACCCACTGAGTTGGGGCACCTGGGTGGCTCAGTGGGTTAAAGCCTTTGCCTTCGTCTCAGGTCATGATCCTAGGGTCCTGGGATCTCTGTCTGTCAAATAAATAAATAAAATCTTAAAAAAAAAAAAGAAAGAAAGAAACTACACTTTCATATGGGTCAACTGACTAGTTTCTGCTCTCTCTTTCTCCTTTTCCTGCACGTAGTAAACACCCCCTTCACTAAGGAGGGCCAGGAAAATAGTCCGCTCATTCAAAGAAGCTGTGTCTTCCACACAACACTGCTACTCAGGGCTTCCCCCTCAGCCCGCAGTTTCTACACCTTCTATGGTGGTCCTAATAAGCTCAAATTTGAATGTATACTCTCCCATCAGTCAGAAGCTGACATTTTGCCTTGACCAACAGAGCGTTAGGCTGTAGAAATTTCAGCTTATGTCAACAGTTTTCTAAAGAGACTTTATCTTCAGAACCTCCTTTCCTCCTCAATATTTAGCTAAACCACAATAAGTTTTAAAAATCTTTGTCATGGGTCTTGATCCCAAGGTCCTGGAAACAAGTCCCACATTGGGCTTCCTGCTCAGTGGGGAGTCTGCTTCTCCCTCTCCCTCTGCTGAAACCCCTGCTCCTGCTATCTCTCAGTCTCCCTCTCAATTAAATAAATACAATCTTTCCAAAAAAGAAAGATTTAAAAAAAAAAAAAGTTTTATCACACACACCCAGAACAACCAACTCAGTGGGTTTTTGTTTTTTTTTTTTTTTAAGATTTTTATTTATTTATTTGACAGACTACAAGTAGGCAGAGAGGCAGGCAGAGAGAGAAAGGAGGAAGCAGGCTCCCCGCTGAGCAGAGAGCCCGATGTGAGGCTCGATCCCAGACCCTGGGATCATGACCTGAGCTGAAGGCAGAGGCTTTAACCCACTGAGCCACCCAGGCGCCCCAAAAGTGTAGTTTCTAAAAGACAAAGACAGTCGACTATCTGAATTTCATATGGTTTGACCAAATAATTGGTAAAGAATGTCAGCTCCAAGCTCACCAATAGCACCAAGGCATATGAACAGAGGGTAAACACTAAGCAAACTAAAAAGTACCAGATAGTTTTTAAAAGAGATCTTCTAACAGATCTAAAATCGTGGTCCTCACAGTCCTCTTCATAAATAGAAACATAAAAATTATGACAATTAAAAAATACTAGTTTTAGGACACCTGGGTGGCTTAGTCAGTTGAGCGTCTGCCTTTGGCTCAGGTCATGATCCCAGGGTCCTGGGGTCGAGCCCTGCATCTGGCTCCCTGCTCAGCGGGAAGCCTGCTTCTCCCTCTGCCTGCTGCTCCCTCTACTTGTTCTCTCTCTCTCTCTAACAAATAAATAAATAAAATCTTTAAAAATAAAATAAAATAAAATAACTAGTTTTGCTTTTCAGATTATTTAAGCATAATATTAATATCTGAGGATAAACAGAAAAGTAAATTAAATTTTATCAGTATACATGGTTTTTTCTTTAGGAAAACATCCTGTACTCCTTTTAAGAGAAGCATTCCTGACTGCCTTTGAGCTGCAGTGGTGGAGGGCTGGACGCAGCAGAGCCTGGCACCTGAGGTTGAATCGCTGCTTTGTGTGTCCGGCCCAGGATGGCCCTCAGCCTTTGAATTTTCCTTCCTTTTGTGCACAGGTTGGTGAGTTTCCCCACATTCCCAGGATCAGTCCTGATCCGAGGCCAAATATAATTTGCTAAACCTTGTTGTTCATTGCAGGGTTCAAAGGCCCCCACCAGAAGCAGTGCC